GTAGAATATTACTCAACCATAAAAAAGAATAAAATCTTACCATTTGTGACACTATGGATGGATGGACTTATAGGGTATTATGCTAAGTGAAATAAGTCAGACAGATAAAGAAAAATACCATACGGTTTCACTTATATTTGGGGAATCTAAAAAACAAAATATATGAAATAAAACAAAGAATCTCATAAATACAGAGAACAATTTGATATTTGCCAGTTGGAAGCGGTTCTAGGGGGCTGAGGGCTGGTGAAGGGATTAAGAAGTAAAAATTGCCCGTTACAAAAACAGTCAAAGGAATGCAACGTACAGCATGGGGAATATAGTCAATAATCCCATATAATAAAAGGCTAACATGCAAATCAACCAAATGGCAGAACAAATGTTGGCTATGATGTGCACAGACCACCAGGGGGCAGATGCTCAATGCAGGAGCTTTCCCCTAGTGGTCAGTGCACTCCCACAGGGGGAGCGCTGCTCAGCCAGAAGTAGGCTCATGACTGGTGAGCACAACATGGTGGTGGGAGCCTCTCCGCCTCTGCAGCAGGGCTAAGGACAACTATATTCAAGCTGTCAGTCAGACATCCCCCAAAGGCTCCCAGACTGCAAGAGGGCACAGACCAGGCTGAGGGACCACCCCCGCACCACACACACACACACACACACACACACTGAGTGTACGAATTTTGTGTACTGGGCCTCTAGTATTATAATAACTATATATGGTGTCAGGTGGATACTATACTTATGGGGTGATCATTTGTAAAGTATATAAATGTCTAATCATTACACTGTACACCTGAAACTAATATAGTACCATATGTCAACTGTAATTACAATTTTAAAAATTATAATAAAACTAGAGGCCCGGTGCACAAAATTTGTGCTCTTTGGGGGGTAACTCAGCCCGGCCTGTGCCCTCTTGCAGTCTGGGATCCCTCGGGAGATAACGCCCTGCTGGCTTAGGCCTGCTCCTGGGTGGCAGAGGGCAGGCCCAATCCCTAGGTGCAGCCCCTGGTCGGGCTCAGAGCCCCACTGGGGTGCCTAGCCAGCCTGGGTGAGGGGCTGGGGGCTGTTTTCAGGCTGGTCACACCCCATTCAGGGTGAGGGGGTCCCGCTGGGGTGCCTGGCAAGCCTGGGTGAGGGGCTGAGGGTCGTTTTCAGGCTAGCCATGCCTGTGGGCTGGAAGCAGGTATCTGGGATTTATTTAACTTCTATAATTGAAACTTTGTAGCATTGGTCCTGCTAGAAGCCTGGGTTGCCCTTGGCAAGCCATGTTCCCAGCCCTTCCTTGAGCAGAGGCCATGGCAGCTGGAAGCAGGTATTTGGGATTTATTTATCTTCTATAATTGAAACTTTGTAGCCTTGAGCAGAGCTCAGGGATGTCCAGGGCAGGTGGGAAGCTTGGTTTCCTCCATCGCTGGGGGCAACCTAAGCCTCCTGCTCGCTCCAGCTCCGTGGTCGCTGCCACCTTTGTGACGGAGTGAGGGAGTGAGGGTGTGATGGTTAATTTGCATATTACTCTTTTATTAGATAGGATACATATAAGCATATATGACCAACTTTAAGCTTAGGGCTTTGAAATTTTAGTGAAAAAGGACAAATTTTATGAGAGCAATGCATGCTACAAAGCTGACAAAATTAAACAAAAAATGTGAATACTCTGTAACTTCCATCAAATATTAAGAGACATAAGGTCAATCATCACAAACTCTTCAAGAGAGTAAAACAAGTTCCAAGCCTGGACCACTGAGGAGCACCAGCATTTTATTTTATTTTATTTATTTTTTAAAATCTGTTGTTAGTGATTTTTTTAGAGAGAGAGGAAGCGAGAGGGATAGAAAGATAGAAACATCAAGCACCTATCAGCTGCCTCTTGCACACCCACTACCGGGGATGTGCCCGCAACCAAGGTACATGCCCTTGACTGGAATTGAACCTGGGACCCTTCAGTCCACAGGCCGACGCTCTATCCACTGAGCCAAACCAGTCAGGGCGAGCACCAGCATTTTAGATGTGCCCAGGAAAGGGTGATGTTAGGTCGTGGAGAAATGGCTGTGAGTGAGGATGCAAACAGCAGAGTGTGGTGTCAAACGGAGGAAGGAGTTATTTCAGGAAAGAGATAAAGTGGAGGAAGGAGCAATTTCAGGAGGGAGTTGTTGAGCAGCATTTGTAAGTGCTGGAGATAAAGTGATTGAGATTAAGACTGAACATTGCATTTTAATGTCTGTAGTAGTTACCTTTGGGGAGAGGCATTTGGATTTTTTTAAACATGACCAATGTTAGTACAACTATATACAATCAAATAATTATTTCATCAGGAAGGATAAGAGCCTTATGATTTCACTCATATGTAGGATATAAAACAGAAAGCAACAAATGAACAAACAACTCACAGACAAAGACAAACATAGTGGTGGTTACCAAAGGAGAAGAAGGGTGGAAGGAGGATGAAGCAGGTATAGGAGGTCAAATATATAGTGATGAAGGGAAACTAGATTTTGGGTGGTGAGCACACAATGCAAAATACAGATGAATTGTAAACTTGGAACATATAATGTTATTAACCAAGTTACCTCAATAAATTTAATTATAAAAATTGTCTCATATGACAATTTTATGTGCAATACGCTATGATTTTTTTAAAGTATGTTATTCTATTTATGATAATGATGACATTGGAAAAATATTTATTTCATTGCCCTAGCCAGTTTGGCTCAGTGGATAGAGCTTTGGCCTGTGGACCAAAGGGCCCCAGGTTCGAATCCAGTCAAGGGCACGTACTTCAGTTGCAGCTTCCTCCCTGGCCCAGGCCCTGATTGGGGCATGTGCAGGAGGCAACCAATTGATGTTCTTTTCTCATGTCGATATGTCTCCATTCTTTCCCTCTCTCTTTTACTCTCTCTAGAAATCAATGGAAAAATATCCTCTGGTGAGGGATATATATTTTTTTTTCATAGACCATTTAAAAATTAATATATTTATTTCATAGACCATCAAGTACACTCAGTGGAGCTGAGAGAGTGGAAAGTGACATGGCTAGACAATTCTTTGAAGTTTGACTGTAAGAGGAGAAGACAGTTGAAGCAACAGTAATGAGAAAAGTTAGTGTCCTTCAGATATGTCTGTCCCAAGGGACTAAGCATTGTTATTTATAGTTGTCCCTTTTAAAGTAATCACATGATTACTACACATAGATACTAAATCAAACAGAGTAAATGCATGAGCAAAGAAGTTATACTTAACACCAACTAATATTCCAAATAGCCCTATTTTGAAATAACAATATGGAAATTAAAATCCATAGGATTTTGATTAATTGCTTCCTATAGAAGTGTACAAAGTGTTGCTTTGAAGAAATTATATATAGATACTACTATAATACAAAGAATAATAAAATCAGTTTTGTGAGGCTAAAAAATGAAGGGCTGAGACATTTCCGTGAAGACTCCAGGCCATGTCTCCTCCAATCCTGACAGAGTATCAGAATCTCAGCTAATTTGGATGTTTAATTGACAGCTTCCCTAGTAAAACAAATATTGTAAAGCAATGACTTACTTTTCTTATCTTGACATCGATTTCCTTTCTCCAGTGCAGTAATTTCCTGCCTACAAGAGAAAGAGATCATGTGAGACACTCCACTTTTCCGAAGCTGAAATTGTACTTGAAAAAAAAATGTTTCATTGCTCTTAACCTAAGGCCATTGCCAGATTGACAATTTAAAAGTCAAATAAAATTGAAATCCTGTTTACCCTGTTTTTTAAAAATATGTTTTTATTGAGTTTTTACTTACCCTGTTTTTTAAAAAATATGTTTTTATTGAGTTTTTAAAGAGAGAGAGAGGGAGAGGGAGAGAGAGATGGAAACATCAATGAGAGAGCAACATGGATTGGCTGCCTCCTGCATGCCCCCTACTGGGGGTAGAGCCCAAAATCCAGGCATGTGCCCTGACCTGGAATGGAACCGGCGACCTCTTGGTGCATGGGAGGATACTCAACCAACTGAGCCACACCGGCTGGGCATACTTACCCTGTTTTGTTTTTTCTTTCTGAAAAACCATGAAATATAGCTGATAACACTGTATTGTATAATGTAAGTTAGTTGAGAGTAGAATTTAAATGCTCTCACCAAAACAAACAAAAAAAGGTAAAATATGTGAGGTGGTGAATGTGTTAATTAACTCAATGGAGGGGATCTTTTATAATGTATACATATATCAAATCACAATGTACACTTTAAATAGATTTTTATATTTTGGTGGGGTAACTGCTTGTAGTTCTTTTCTAGTTATTTGGTCTGCCACAGTGCCATATATCTATCTATCTATCTATATCTATATCTATATCTATATCTATATCTATATCTATATCTATCTATCTATCTATCTATCTATCTATCTATCTATCTATATGTATGTATTTTAGGAGCCCAGTGCCCAAATTCGTGCACCTTGAAAGGAACTGTGGGCCACGAGGCTGCAGTGGGCACAAGGGCAGGTCTCGGCCCATCCTCCACGACCCCTCCTGGCCCTTCCCTCCATGGCCCCTGATCCCCCATCTGCTGGCAGCACTGATAGAGCAGAGCAATTGGGGCTGGCACCAGCAACAGGTGCAAGCGGGGCCAGCGCCATCAGCGGGTGTGAGCAACTGGCCCCGATTGCCCCTCAGAAAGAGGAGGAGGTGGAGAAGCCCTCAGGGGTGATCAGGGCCAGCAGCCACCGCTCACACCCACGGACAGTGCCAAGTGATCGGGGCCGGCAGCGGGGACCGGCAGCGGTATGAGCAGTGGCTCTGGTGCCAACAGCAGATGCGAGCAGGGCTGGTGCCAGCAGCAGGTGTTAGCACTGGGCAGGACCGACCATATGTTGTCTACAAGGAACCCACCTCAGAACAAAAGACACAGGATGAAAATGAAGAATAGGAAATTTTTTTCCATGCAAATGGAAATGAATAAAAAAAAGCTGGGGTAGCAATACTCATATCCATGGCGTGTGAGAGGAAAGAATTTTCAGTAACTACCAAATGCTCGCCCCAATGACAGTGACCAGCATCCCATCTTGCTCTTGTGCCCTCACTCACCTGCTCCACCATCCTGCCCACAAAATACTAAAGGGATCGATCCAACAAGAGGATATAACCCTGGTAAACATATATGCACCCGATATAGGAGCACCGAAATATATATATATAAAAACTTCTAGAGGACTTTAAGGGAGAGATCAAAGCAATACAATCATAGTAGGGGACTTTAACACCCTGCTGACTTCATTGGATAGAACTCCTAGACAAAAAATTAATAAGGAAACAGCGACTCTAAATGACACACTGGATCAAATGGATTTAACTGACATTTGTAGAACATTTTACCCCAAAGCTGCAGAATATGCATTCTTCCCAAGTGCACATGGATCATTCTCAAAGATATACCACGTGATAGGACACAAAACATGTCTCTACAAGTTGAAGAAGATTGAAATCAATCGAAGACTAGCTGGAGAGAAGCCTGGTAACCAAGAACAAAAAGTAGAGACTGAATAAAGACTGGTAGGAAGTGTGGAGGTGTGAAAGGGCTGGCCGGGCTCCCACAGACAGCAGCTGAAGTTCCAGAGGGATATCTCAGCTATGGGGGTTGCCACTGAGACTGTGGGGTCTAAACCCAAAGCTGGGCTCCCCAGCCCAGAGCACAGACCTGAGAAAGGTGTCCACATAACATTGGGCTGTGGAAAGCAGCAGAGTGGCTATCTGCCAGGGAGAGACGGCTGGAAATGCAGGCACCCTCTTAAAGGGCCAATGCACAAAAGTCTGTGCACAGCCACTCAGAGGGAAGACTGAGTGGACTGGAGCTGTGTGGGCAGAAATCAGAGTTGGGGGTTCAGGGGTTAAGAGCTTAGGGGTAGAGACCCCTGTTTCCTGTACTGAGTCATTCCTACATACTGAGGAGGACATCTTTCTACAGCAAACCTTTATCATCTAGGCAGCTTTTGCCTGGGGGGAGAAGCAATTGCCTCACCCTGTTAGAAAACCTCTCACTGCACCCTGTAATCGATAGCCTAAGGCTAATCAAGACTGAATAACAATCAGACTGCAGGCAGAGGCAGATCTCTGGAGACTTTAAATCTTTCTCTGATCTAATTTGGAGTCCTGGCCTAGAAAAACCAGACCTTGGTGCATATATTGGTCCTTTCCAAAGGCTGGGACCAGCACAGCAGAGGGAGTCACAAGGTGTGAATTGCTGATAGCTCCAAACAGGGCACTCAGCACAAGTCAGAAACAGTGTCTGACATAGTCCTGCACTAGAGATTGGGAGTCGTAGCAGATCTAACCGATGGGGCAATTGGGGGCCCCAATGGCACCCGCCTTGGCCAGTCTGGTGCCACCCACTTGCCAGCCCTGCCCCTCGCCACCGCCACTGGTCACCTCCTTCTGTGGCGCAACTGGCAGAGTTATCAGGAGACCTCTACTGGCACCTACCTTGGAGATGACTGGCAAGGCAATCATGGGGGCAGTGCTGCCTGCTCACTGGCTGGCCTTGTCCCCCAATCACCTTGCTGCCCCCTCTGGTCACCTCCCTCTGTGGGGTGACCAGCGGGGTGATTGGGGGTCCCCACTGGCACCTGCCTTGTTTGGCCTGTGGCCTACCTGCTGGGGACAGCTCCTCCATTAATCATCTGCCCCCTAGTGGTCAGTGTGTGTCATAGCAAACCAGTTATTCCACTGGTTGTTCCACAAGTCATTCTGCCATTTTGTCAATTTGCGTATTAGGCTTTTATTATATAGGATGAATGGGTTACCAATGCACTCAAAAAAGAAATCAAACAATGCCTGGAAACAAATGAACACACAGCAATCCAAAATCTCTGGGACACAGAAAAGCAGTCCTGAGAGGAAAGTTTATACCACTACAGGACTACCTCAAAAAACAAGAAAATTTAATAATAAACTATTTAACCCTACAACTGGGAATGGCATGAAGTATTCAAGGATTTGAAACCAAGATTACTATATCCAGCAAGGCCATCATTCAAAATACATGGTGAAATAAAGAGCTTCCCAGAGAAAAAAAAAGGCGAAAGGAGTTTACCACCACCAAATCAGCACTGCAAGAAATGCTAAAGAGACTGCTGCAAAGAAATCAAGAGCTGGATCTTTGAAAAGATAAACAAGATTGATGAACCATTAGCCAGACTCATCAAGAAACAAAGAGAAAGGACCCAAATAAATAAAATCAGAAACAAGAGCAGAGATGTAACAACTGACACCACAGAAATACAAAGGATTGTAAGAAAATACTATGAACAACTATATGCCAACAAGCTGGACAATGTGGATGAAATGGACAAATTCCTAGAAAAATACAATCTCCCAAAACTGAATCCATCGAAAAAATTTTTAAAAAAAAACAAAACTGAATCAGGAAGAATCAGAAAACCTGAATAGGCCAATAACAACTGAGGAAATGGAAGCAGCAATGAAAAAACTCCCAGCAAACAAAAGCCTTGGTCCAGATGGCTTCAACAGGGAGTTTTACCAAACCTTCAAAGAACAAATTACACCTATACTCCTCAAACTATTCCAAAAAATCCAAGAGGAAGGAACACTTCTAAGCTCTTATTATGAGGGCAGTATGATCCTAATTCCAAAACCAGATAAAGACACTACAAAGAAAGAGAAGTACAGGCCAATATCCCTGATGAACATAGATGCTAAAATTCTCAACAAAGTATTAGCAAACCAAACCAAAAAACCAAACCCAGCAATATATTAGAAATATCACACACCATGACCAAGTGGGATTTATTCCAGGGATATAAGGCTGGTACAATTGATTTGAAAATCAGTAAATGGGATACAAATAAACAAATTGAAAGACAAATATCACATGAGCATATCAATAGACACTGAAAAAGCATTCAACAAAATCCAACACCCATTTTTAATAAAATCTCTCAGCGAAGTAGGAATAGAGGGATCATACCTCAACATAACAAAGGCCATATATGACAAATTTACAGCCAACATCATATCAATGGGTAAAAACTAAAACCATTTTTGCTCTCACCAGTCTTATTCAACATAGTACTGGAAGTCCTAGCCACAGCGATCAGACAAGAAGAAGAAATAAAAGGCATCCAAATTGGAAAGGAGAATTAAAATTCTCGTTACTTGCAGATGTCATGATATCATATGTAGAAAACCCTAAAGACTCCACCAAAAAACTACTAAACTTAATAAATGAGTTTGGCAATGTAACAGGATACAAAACTACACCCAGAAATCGATGGCATTTTTATACACCAATAATAAATTCTCAGAAAAGAAACTAACAAACAATCCCATTTACCATTGTAATAAGAATATTAAAGTACTTAGAAATAAACTTAACCAAGGAGGTAAAAGACTTGTACTCAGAAAACTACAGGACGGTGAAATCAGAGAGAGAAAGATATAAAACAAGTGGAAGAATATATTGTGTTCATTGATTGGTAGACTCAACATCATTAAAATGTCCATACTACCCAAGGCAAACTATAGATTCAATGCAATCCCTATTAAAATACCAATGGCATATTTCATAGCTCTAGAACAAATACTTCAAAAATGTATATGGA